CATTGGTGCTCAAAGCACACCCTGATCCTGGGTCACTGGCCCTAAGGCAAAATCTGGGCCTGGGTCCCTGGCCCTGAAGACTCATACTTGGCCTGGGTCACCTGCCCCGGAAAAGCACCCTGGGCCTGGGTCACTGGTGCAGAAGGCACACCCTGGGTTTGCATCACTGGTTCTAAAGGCAAACCATGGTCTGGGTCACTGGCACTGAGAGCACAACCTCGGCCTCTGTCTTTGTCTGTGAACACCCACCCTAGGACTTGTTTACTGCCGTAGAAATCACAGTCTTGGCCTGGGTCACTCACGCAGAACGCACATGTTTGTCATGGGTCAGTGGCCCTGAAGTCCCACCCTTAGCCTGGGTCAGTGACCAATAGGCACATGAAAAGAAGCTCAGTATCGGTGATTATCAGAGAAATGCAAATCAAAACTACATTGAGGTATCACCACACACAGGTATGAATGTCCATCATTAAAAAGTCTACAAACCATAAATGCTGGAGAGGGTGTGGAGAAAAGGGAATCCTCCTGCACTGTTGGTGGGAATGTAGTTTGGTGCAGCCATTATGGGAAACAGTGTGGAAATTTCTTAAACAACTGAAATTAGAGTTACCCTATGATCCAGCAATCCCACTCCTGGGTATGTATTCAGAGGGAACTCCTAATCAAAAACATATATTCACCCCAATGTTCATAGCAGCACTATATACAATAGGCAAGACATGGAAGCAACCTAAATGTCCATCAACAGATGACTGGATAAAGAAGTTGTGATGTATTTATACAACGGAATACAACTCAGACATAAAAAGTTATAAAATAATGACATTTGCAGCAACATGGATGGACCTGGAGATTGTCATCCTATGTGTAAAGTAAGCCGGAAAGAGAAAGACAAACACCATTGATATCATTTATATGTGGAATCTAAAATAATGACACAAATGAACTTATTTCCAAAAAGAAATAGACTCACAGAGATAGAACAAATTACCAGGAGGGAAAGGGGGTGAGAAGGGATAAATTGGGAGTTCACTGTTTGCATATACAAACTACTATATATAAAATAAACAACAATGTCCCACTGTATAGCACAGGGAACTATAGTCAATATCTTGTAATAGCCTATACTATAAAAAGAAGGTGAAAAGAATATATATAGGTATAACTGAAACACTATGCTGTACACCAGAAGTTAACACAGCATTGTAAACCGATTATACTTCAATTAAGAAAAAAATAGAGAGAGAGAAACTGAATTAGACCAAAGTCTTAACTGAGAACCATGCTCCTAGCTGATTCCCCAGAGGTAAAAGGTACCTCTCAGAACACATGTGATACCTGTGCCGGTGGGGGGGCACGTGCGCGCATGTCCATGAACAAGTCAAATTGTCCCAATAAACTGAGTCCTGTAGGATGGGCACACATTTCATTCGCCTTCAAGAAGTGTTTCTTGTATTAACTGAATCCTGGGGGGATGGGCGCCAGGGACAAATCTGGGGCTGGGTAGGCTATGGGTCAAACCACATGCCCACCAACGGAAGCTCCACCAACGGAAACTCGGCCAACGGAAGCTCGGCCAACGGAAGCTCCAACATCTGGGCACGAGCAGCTGGAGCTCCAACGGACTCCCTTGGAATTCCTCCAGGAAACTGTCAGGAGGGGTGGAGATGGCCGCTCCGTCCAGTGGCTGCTTTCCAATGTGGTGCCCTTCCTTGCGGAAAGTGGGCCTCAAACCCTCCAAGGTTGTGCTGGAGATGGAGGCAGGGCCTGGGCCAGACTCCGAGAGGAGCGGGTCGCAACTGCCCGAAGGGCCAGACCCGGAGCACGTCGTGGCCTCACAGCAGGAGAGTGAGAGTCCCCTGGGGTCAAGTCAGCAACCTCTGCCAGCGACAGAGTCAGAAACCCAGCTGCTGGGGGGGCCCCGCTGCCATACCGACTGCCTGGAGGCGCCTCTCTCCCGGGCCTTCCGAAGGCTGGGGTGGGAGGTGGGCTCGCACCCCTGGATCTTCCTGCTGCTGCCTGTGATTCTAACGGCCATCCTGGGCACTGGCCTGATCTACCTGCCCGAGGGCAAAGAAAACCTCGAGGAGCATTACACCCCCATAGGGAGCCCGGCCAAGGCCGAGCGGCGCTTTGTGCAGAAGCACTTCATCGCCAAAGACCGTGACCACTTCTCTGTCTCCAGGCAGAGCACTGAGGCCAGTTACGCATCAATTCTAGTGGTCTCCAACAGCAACTCGCTGCTGGAACAAGACGTCCTTTCGGAAATCAGTCAGCTGGACGAGATGGTGCAGGCTTTGTCTTTGACCAACGAAAATGGAACCCAGATCCACTACCAACAGGTGTGTTCTTTGAACCAGGGCCACTGCGTGCCCTCCAACCCACTCCTGTTAGCCTGGAAAATGAACAGTAACCTCAACCTGAGAAACATCACCTTCCCCATCTATGCGCTAGGCTATCAGATCCTCTACCTGGCCAACCTTCTTGGAGGAACGGTCTTAGGTGACAGTGTGGGACGGAGCCAGTTACTTCTGGAGGCCAAAGCCATGCGACTGCAGTACTATCTGAAAACCGATGACGCAGAGGATAACGAGCGCAGCAAGGCGTGGTTGATGCATTTCCTGCAGGAGTTCAGCAACATGGAAAAGAGTCTGGCCTTGAAGAAGATCCAGGTACCCAGCGCATGGGGGAGGGCCAGGAGAAGGGGGGAGGGGTAAGAAGACGTGTTCCAAGGACCATAGCTCTGATTATGTGATGGCGTCCTTGACCTGAAGCTGGCTGTGCTCTACTGTGACTGGTCCTTATAACAGCTTCCTAAAATAACACACTGAAGGATGCCACACATCTTAAGTCCTTGGTAACGTTCTGGTGGAAAACAGAAATCCTACATCCTCAAGGGCGGTCTGTCCAGTGCAGACGCTGACCTTCAAGTTTAGTTTTGGGGCTTGGTTTCCTAGTCAGATTGCTTTGAAGTTCTTATGTTTGGTTAAAGTCTTTGCTGTTCCTGGGAGCCCCCTAACAATTGATTTGGAGTTCACTGGAATCAGGAAACAAATCTTTAAGCAAAAATTCCATGGTGTTGTTGAGAAAGATACCTGAGTATTTTTAAAGTAAATTACCACATAGTGCCACGCAGTTAGCTGTTCAGTAATTGTTGGGCTGGCAAATCTAATATGCTGGATAAGCCTGGTGAGAGTGAGACACCTACTGGAAAACCCAGTACCCAGGCCTTCTGAAATGACCCTTGTGCCATTAAAACAGTAAAAGATAACATCCTAATAGAAGTTCAGAAAAAGCCAAAATGTCTACAGTTACTAACGATTTCACAGGTTTATGTAAGATTCAGATTCTGTATATGTGGGAGTTTTAAACTTTAGATTTTTGAAAGAAACTTTGGAAAGCATGCCAGAGATTTGTGGGAGGAAGCAAGTCTTTCTTACTTTTATTCTAAAATCATAATCCACGTATTTTGATTTTTTTTTAAACTGAATTTTAACATTTCAGTCAAGAAGCTGGTGTTTCAATAGCGTTTTAAACTCACACACGAATATCGTACTTAGAAACTAACCTGAGTGCATTTCCATGGCAGGTGGTCTACTTTACGTCACTTTCTAGACAACTGGAATTTGAGGCAACTTCTAGGACAGTGATCCCTCTGTTTTACATGGCGTACCTTCTAATCGTACTATTTGCAATCACATCATGCTACAGGTAAAAATGCTTTTATTAGTTTTTTAAACTCTAACTTTAAAAATCATTTTATTGTTATATTAGTGTGTATATACTATATATATCAAATATACCATTCTAAAAACTGTTTCTAAGTGTACGATTCAGTGGTGTTAATTACACTCACACTGTTGTGCAGCCATCACAACTATTTACAAATATTTTCTATCACCCTAAGCAGAAACTGTGACTTTGAAGCAATAGCACCCCCATTGCCTCCCCCAAATCCTGCTTAACTTTTTTCTTTTTCTTTCTTTTTTTTTTTTTTTTTGCAATTTGTAGCCACTTTTCTAGAGCCAACTTCTCCAGAAGAGGAGAAGCTCAAATACCTTTTAGAAGGAGGCTCTCATACTTTTTGCTAGCCATGATAATATTGAACCAGCTTTGAAATGCAGGAGCTATTTGCAATTGTGCTCATGGCCAACTGGAGTCAGGGGTGGGTGAGAAGATGACTGGATATGTTTGTACTTTCTTGCTGCTTGCCTTCCATTTGCTGCTGTATTCTATTTGCATTCCTCTGATGATCAGAGTGGGATTAACTGTCTGCAATGATTTACTGTATCTTTGTGGTTCTGAAACGCCATTCAGTGGATTAGTGCTTGGCTAGCTGCATAAGAATCCACCAGGCTAGTCTGGTCCAAGTACAGATGCACACTTTTCCTGTTCCCTCTTTATTTCTTTCTTCAGTTGGTCTGGGCTAGTACCTGAAAGTTACAGTTCTCTGGCAGTCGGATGTGGGAATTACTGTCTGAGAGGTTTCTGAATAGCTGTCCAAGTCAGGAATGTCAGGAATTGATGGCATTTCAGTATGGAAGCTATCACCACAAGTTCCATGATTTTTCCCTCCAAATTTACAGGTGTGACTGTGCACGAAACCAAATGTGGGTGGCAGCCTTTGGAGTGATTTCTGTCGCCTTGGCAGTGGTGAGCAGCTTCGGCTTGTTGTTGTTCAGTGGGGTGCCATTTGTGACCATAGTTGCAAATTCACCATTCCTTGTTCTAGGTGAGTAAAACAAAACATGAGGCTACACATTGTGTATGTGGGGGTGTGGGGTAGATAAAGGAAGGAGCTTGTGCTAGATCAAGCAAAATAATTACATTTAGGTAGTTTTACAGATCCAAAAATGATGAAAGAAGAAAATCAAATGGAATTATGTGCTTTTAGAGTTGAAAAAAATCTAGTACCCCAAATGGAAAAATGCATACCAGGGACATAAATAGGCAGTCTACACACACACACACACTCCAAAATACTAATCACTGAAAATACAGGGGGGAAAAGGTGACCTCCCAATTAAGCAAGGGATGCAAATTAAGCCAAAAGTGAGACACCTTGTTTTCTTGTTAGATTAATGAATATCAGCAAGACTGAAGGACTTAAGGTTTAGGGATGGTTGTGTGCAGATGAACACTCATATTCTGCTGGAGGAAAATTGTAAGTTGGTACACTTTTTAAATCCAATTTTGAAACAAATCAAAAGACTTCAAAATTTGAAAGGAAATACCTTTGACCTGCCAACTCCACTTTTAGGAATTTGTTTGAATTATTGGACAAGTGCTCAAAAAGTAGAACAAGTGTGTTCATTTCAGTGTGATTGAGAATAGGAAAAACAAAACCACCTCATCCCATATTGACATGGGACTGGTAGACTCAAACACAGCATTTTAAAGGTTTGGAATCCGATTCAGTCTTCAAAAAGAGATAAATATACAAGGGTAAATGAAAACTGCTGGTCATGAAACAAGATGTTTGAAACAGAGAGACACAGTTTTATGTGTATGTTTGTATAGAGAAAGTTCTGGCTGGACATGCGTAAAATATTAGCAAGGAGTATCCTGAAAGGTAGAATTACCGTTGTTTAATTTTTTCTTTGTAATTTCCAGTACTTTCAGAATTTATTTTACAATAAGCATGAGAAGACAAAGGTGTTTATATTTTGGAAAGTAAGCAACTTGGAAGAAATAACATTTGGTTTCCTGGGGGAGATAGTAGAGGAAGTGTTACACTGGATATTCACGTTCCTAGTACATACTCACATTAAATTACTCAGTGTTCCCCACTGGCACAAATAACTATAGTTAAAGTATATATAATTGACTTAATATAAATCATTTTTGCATTGTCTGTGTATTCATAGAAGTATGAGGGTGTGTGTGTGTGTGAGGGGGTTTGATTTCAGCAATTCAAGCAAGGAATTTTTAATTTTTTCTAATTTTTGTTTTGTTTTGCTTTGTTTTAGGTGGGTAATTCATTCTATTTATTTATTTA